GTTTTTTTGAGACAGGGTTTCTCTGTGTAGCTTTGGAGCCTGTCCTGGGCACTTGCTCTGTAGACCAGGCTGGTCTCGAACTCACAGAGATCCTCCTGCCTCTGCCTCCCGAGTGCTGGGATTAAAGGCGTGCGCCACCAACACCACTTGGCATTACTCTTTACAGCTGCCTATGAGATAAGGCACTATGTGTGTGTCTTTTGGACACAGAGCAGTTAAGTCACGTGCTCAAAGTCACACAGCTTCGTGAGTGGCTCTGGGGTTAGACTTCTCCTTAGGAAGCCATGTTTGTAGGGAGAGAGGAAATCCTACAGCCACATCCATGCTTGCTTTCTCCACAGCTGCTGCAGGAGCTGAGAGACCCCACACTTACCTTCCGTCTGCTCGGCTCCCCCAGGTATGGACAGAGGATGGGGGGGCTGCGGCTGTTTCCTCTTTGGCTTCGAGCACCCTTCCACACTGGTTTGCTAAGTTCCCTCCTGAGGCTCCAGCTCTACCCTGATTCTTGGATCCTTGGCCAGCCTCCTGGGGTAGCAGCCCCGAGTCTCTGAATTCCTTTAGCTTACCATTCACGTTGGGAGCGTGGACACCCAAGGCTCCTTCACTATTGCTGCTGGGAGTCAGTGTCTCACTGGGAGGCCCCGCTTGTGCTCTAGTTCTCTCTTTTATTACCCGGGAGGGCAGGGGGTGCCACACAGGGCACCTGGGGATCAGAGGACATCTTTGGGAGACGATTCTCTCCTTCTACCATGCGGGTCCCAGGGACTGAACCTAGGTCATTAAGTTTGGTGGCAAGCACCTTCGCCTGCTGAGCCATTCACCAGCCCTCTTCAGACTCCTTACTTTTGTGGCTGAGGACAGCCTTGAACCCCAGATCTTCCTGCCTCCACCTCCCAGTTGTTGGGATCCTAGGCATGTGCCACCATGCCCGCTTAGTCATCGTCACAGCCCAGAATCGGAACCGCACACTTTCTATTAACTACTTTGAGAATGAAATAATGAATGAACGAATGAATGAATGACTCGGCCTCTCTCTTCTTCAGGCCTGTTGTGGTGGAGACACTGCCCTCGGCTCCCCCCACCGCCCCTAGCAACCTCTATATCCAGGAATGAGCCTCTGAGAGGGCATGAGACGTGGACCCCTGCAGACTCTAACAGACACCAGTGGTCACGACATGTCCTTATCTTCCAATAAACACGACCTCAGTCTGTTGTCATCTTGCTTTTCTTAGGTAGGGGGGATTTTTGGATGCCCAGTCCCCCCAGATTTAAATGATCCAACACAATGATGCTGGGGTGTAACATAGACTTTTTATTGGTGCCCAGCTACCTGGACAGGAGCTTACAGTGGGAGTGAGTGAGGCACTTGAGGTGGGGGGAGGGCCAGCCGCAGAGCTCAGCTAAGCTGGTCCTCATACTGCTTGCGGAAACAGTCCCCAGCAGGGAAGAAATCCCAGCATCTTTCCTGGTACATCTTCCAGACATAGGACTCCTAGGGTTGGGGACACAAGAGTCCTCTCTCTGAGACCAGTGTATGGATACACTCAGGGTGTGACTAGAGTACAGCCTGCTGGAATGGCTTCCCATCAGCCATGTTCCCACCCATTAGCCTCCCTTACCTGACCGGTGTGCTCTGTCTCATCCTTGTTTATCAAATACATCAGGAAAAACCTGAGGGACCGGGGACCACAGGAGAAAGGTAAGAACCATAAGTGCATTGAGGGTTCCTTTTGTTTTCAAATGCTGAGGATGGAACCCAGAGCCCAGTGCATGTTAGGCAGGGGCTCTACCACTGAGTCACACCCTCAGCCCCTCACTGGGGGATTCTAGGCAGGGGCTCTATCACTGAGCCATGCCCCCTGCCCCTCACTGGGGGATGCTAGGCAGGGGCTCTACCATTGAGCCACGTCCCCAGCCCCTCACTGGGGGATTCTAGGCAGGGGCTCTATCACTGAGCCACACCCCCAGCCCCTCACTGGGGGATTCTAGGAGGGGCTCTACCACTGAGCCACATCCCCAGGCCCTCACTAGGTGATTCTAGGCAGGGGCTCTACCACTGAGCCACACCCCCAGGCCCTCACTAGGGGATTCTGGGCAGGGGCTCTATCACTGAGACATGCCCCCAGCCCCTCACTGGGAGATTCTAGGCAGGGGCTCTACCATTGAGCCACGCCCCCAGCCCCTCACTGGGGGATTCTAGGCAGGGGCTCTACCACTGAGCCACCCCCCAGCCCCTCCCTGGAATATTCTAGGCAGCTGCTCTACTATTGAGTCACGCCCCCAGCCCCTCACTGGGGGATTCTAGACAGGGGCTCTATCACTGAGCCACACCCCCAGCCCCTCACTGTGGGGATTCTAGGCAGGGGCTCTATCACTGAGACATGCCCCCAGCCCCTCACTGGGGGATTCTAGGCAGGGGCTCTACCACTGAACCACACCCCCAGCCCCTCACTGGGGGATTCTAGGTAGGGGCTCTACCACTGAACCACACCCCCAGCCCCTCACTGGGGGATTTTGCTTTATCACTGAGACACAGTGATGCTTACCTGCTGATTGGCTAAGAACCATGGATGCCCACACTCCTTTCCATAACCGGCCCAGGCTCTCTCCCTGCCCTCACTCCCACCCCCCTGAGCACCCACTACTTCTATCCTCACATGTAATTGGCCAGGTTGTGCTCTTCCAGAGTGTGGGTCTCAAAGCCATGTGGGGTCGTATCAAAGTAGTCACTGCCTATCCCGCAGATGAAGCACTTGGTCTGAGGAGAGTGAAAGATGTCAGAGTCAAGGCGTACGTGACATCCCTGGTGTCCCATCACCCCTCAGATGCATCCTGGGACATGACGTACCTCCATGTCTTCCTTCACTTGCTCCTGTTGGTCTCGGAGTTCCCCAAAAGCATCAATAATCAGACCTGGGGTGGCAGGACACAGGTCAGGACCCATGTACACCCAGCACCTCTGGGCCTTGCCTTTCCTGCATGGATTCCCTAATCTCACCACCCTTCCCAAGCAGAATAGAACCAGGTGGCTATTGGGTACTTCCTATGGGAGGACACTTCAAAGCAATGCATGGCTCCATCTTCACGGTGATCTTAAACACCGGAGCCTTGACTGGCCTGGAGTGCGGACCAGGTTGTCCTCAAGTTTATGCAGGCTTCCAGCCTCTGCTTCCCAAGTGCTGGGATTATGGCCATGTACCACTGTGCACAATGTTTTCTGTCTGTTTGTTTTTTTTGGTTTTTTGAGACAGGGTTTCTCTGAGTAGCTTTGGAGCCTATCCTGGCACTCACTCTGGAGACCAGGCTGGCCTCGAACTCACAGAGATCCACCTGCCTCTGCCTCCCGAGTGCTGGGATTAAAGGCCTGCGCCACCAACGCCCGCAATGCACAGTGGTTTTAACACCTCCGTTTTTCAGATGGGGAAACTGAGGCTCAAGACACCACCCATCTGAGGTCTCATAGCAGGAAGAGGCTAAGGCAGGGAGGCAGCCAGTCCCCAGATACTGGGCACACCTCACACGCACACACCCAGCCAGCACTCACCCTGGATGATGGCCAGCAGGATGACGATGACGAAGAAGAAGAAGGTGATGTCAAACACAACCCGGTAGAGTTCATATTCGTCACCCGCTGGGTCCTCAATCTCGTCCCCGATGCCTCCACCAGCCCGAACACCCACCTACATGTCGAACAGGTAACACTGGGGAGGAGGGGACAACAGCCACCGTCAACGCATCAACGTGACAGGATCTGGACTCACCTAGGAGGCCAACTTCTGGGCACGCCCATGAGGAAGGTTCTAGATTGGGTTAACTGAGGTGGGGAGATCCACCCTGAATGTGGACTCAGTGTGGGCTGGGGTCCCACAGGAGAAAGCATTGCCTCCCTGGCTTCCTCACTGGAGACTCAGAGTGACCAGCCACCTCAGGCTCCGGACACCCTGATGGGCTGACTGTGCTCTCAAATCAGGGGCCAAACTCATCCCTTTCTTCCCTAAGTTGCCTTTGTCCGGTATCTGGTCACAGTGGGCAGATATGTGACAAATATCAGGGGGTCAGAGCTGGGGATCTGCCCCGGTTGGTACATCTTGTGCTTGCCTGGCATGCATGAGGCCCCGGGGTCGATTCTCCAGCCCCACATAGCCCAGAGATGGTGGCACATGGCTGTCACCTCAGGTGGTGGCAGGAGGACCTGAAGTTCGAGGTCACCCTTGGCTATACTGGGGATTGGGAAAAGGATGCGGTGACAGAGGCAGAGGGGCCGGCAGAGGCACACTATGCCCTCACAAGCTCAGACCGCCTCAGAGCGGCAACCAGACTGGCTTGGTGCAGGAGGGCCAGCCAGTCTCCCAGCTGGAAGCTGAAGGAGGTGCCGTGAGAATGGGTGATGGTAGGGTGTGCGGGTGGTCAAAAACACACCATCTGGGAGGAAAGGATAAATTTTGTGGGCTGGGTGTGTAACAAGGCCTGGGCTCCAACCTTATCACACACACACACCACAAAGTATTTTTTGTTTGGTTTTGTTTTTATTTCCAAGACGGTGTTTTTCTGTGTGTAGTCCTGGCTGTCCTGGCACTCGCTCTGTAGACCAGGTTGACCTCAAACTCACAGAGATCCGCCTGCTGCTGCCTCTGGAGTGCTGGGATTAAAGGGGTGCGCCACCACTCCCCAACCACACCTAAGTTTTTATATTTCTTTTGGAGTAGGAGGCTAGAGAATTGTGTCCATGGTTAAGAGCACTGGCTGCTCTTCCAAAGGAACCAGGTTCAATTCCTAGCACCCAACATGGAGGGTCACAAGGATCTGTAACTAAGACATACATGCAGGCAAAACGCCATACATGTAAAAGGAGGAGGAGGAGGAGAAGCCGGGCATCGGTGGTGCACAGGAGGCAGAGGCAGGTGGATCTCTGTGAGTTCGAGACCAGCCTGGTCTATATATAGAGCAAGTTCCAGGACAGGATTCAAAACAATACAGCGAAACCGGTCTCTAAAAAAAAAAAAAAAAAAAAAAAGAAAGAAATTGTTTTTGCTTCCACGAGGAACTGAAATAAAGTTGGTGACGCTGGAGAAAGGGATAGAGAGAGAGACGAGGCAGGGACTGACCAGTTCTACAGGCTCTGGCCCCAGCAATGGTCTGAGAGAGGACTCCCTCCCTGTAGGAGGCAGCATTTAATCTGGAAGGTAAGATGTCAGGTGAGGGGTGGAAGCTGTCTGGTCAGGGCAGAGAGATGTCAATGCAGAGGACCAGAAATGGAAGGAAACACAGTCCTAAAGGAACTGAAAAAGAACCAGGAAGCCAAAAATCGAAAGCAAAAAGGATTGTGGTTAGACTCAGGTAGAGCCAGCTCTTCCTTGTTTTTGTAAGCCATGGTGACATGATTCAAAGCCTGCTTCGCTGGGTGTGTGGGTCACCAGAAGGTTCTAAGTAGAGGAGGGGGAGGGGCTTGGTCCATCTGGCACATGGGGCAGACTTCACACTCCCTTTTTCTGTATTCCTAGGAGGGGAGAGAACCCAGTTGTGTTTTCTAAGAGCTCAGGCCAGTGACAGCTCAGAACAGTGACTGGGACCCTGGAGCAAGGGCCCATGAAGCCATCTTCTGGCACAAACCCCAGGAATGATTCTCTCAATTGTGGTCTTGCCTCTAGCACATCAAAGTCAATGTGAGTTATGATTGTCATCGTTGGAAAAAGAGGAATATGCTCTTATGACTGAATGATGGGAGAAAAGAAACCTTTAGCCAGGAGGTGGTGATGCACACCTTTAATCCAAGCACTAGGGAGGCAAAGTCAAGAGGATCTCTGTGAGTTCGAGGCCAACTTGGTCTACAGAGCAAGTTCCAGGACAGCCAGGGCTACACAGAGAAACCCTATCTTGAAAAACAAAAAACAAAACAACAACAAAAAAAGGAAAACCTTTGGAGTAGTCTCCCTATCTATGTAGCTCAGCCTGGCTTTGAACTTGTGCCCCAGTCTCCAGAGTACTGGGATTGCACCAACACATGTTTGTTGAACCAAGGGCCTTGTGCACACTTAACGTGTGTTCTTCCACTGACTCACACCTCTGACCTCTAGGCTAAGACTTCCAAGGCTCCTGAGGCGAGGAAGTCCCTCTCAGGCCTACAGATCCCTCTGAGACATCACAGGTGGCCCAGCCAGAGGCAGTAGGTGTGTTGCTCACTCTAGGTCACCACACTCAAGGGGTACAGAGAGC